ATTATAAACTATTATTTGTCTTCAAATACATACATGTATGTGTGTGTATAAATGTATCATACGAGAACTTTTCTTACACATGAGGATTCTGTAATATTAATACCTTTAATTTGCATATGGATTTTATTCTCCAAGTATATCTGGCCATAGTTTTGAAAAGTACTTGGGGATTTTGGATGCAATTTTAAGATTCTTGCTCTGAGACAACTGGAAGACACTAATGTTTCTGACAGTGGCTGCTCAGCACTTTCTGAGAATTTCTAAAAAATTGTAATCACTCCAATCTATTTTTGCTGTCCCCTGACAGCTGTCTTCCCAGTGAGCATAGCTGTCACTGAGAACTCTCGCTTGAGAAGAGACTGGGGGAAAAAATCTACCAGGAACTACTGGATGGTTTGAGGGGCTGCATTGGCATGAGCTCTCTTCTCTCCTTTCAGGGCTGGTTAATATCGCCAGTTTGCATCCACTATGCCTCCTGCCAAAATGAACAATGATAGAGTAAATGTCTTAACACAGGCCCTGAGGATCTGATCTCTGCAGTCTAACTTCGCTTGGTAGAAACATCTTCTATCATCAACTACGTCTGGATGGTCATAAAATATTGTAATTACCACCCATTTATAGAATCAACCATAAAAACATGAGGTTGGAAAAATACCACACCGAATAAGTATTAACAAAATGATTATTTAATTGGCAACTGATTATATAGATAAAACATATTTCAATGAAATGCCTGTGAATGGTTTTCTTTACCAGTGGCTGAGCAAGCCATGGAGTCATTGCTATGAAAACTACTGTTTTCTCACTCTTGAAAGCCAAAATTAATTGCTATAGTGGGTTTTTACAATGCAGTGGTGAGCAGCTGTAAATCACTCACTAGTCCAGCCTTTACTCATTTCTGTTGACGAGTGCTGTACATTTCCTTACCTATCTTTCTCTATCTACAATGTTTTAAACTTAACTGTATCTTTCCTACATAGGTATAAAAGTAACATTAACTTTCTGCCATTCCTGCATTATACTGTTGTTGGGGTACACCAATTCCTTTGGGATTTTTTACTTTTTTTTTTCTTTTTCTTTAAAACTCCTTGAAAAGACCTCATACTATACTCTTAGACCATCTAAGGCTAACTAATAATTCCTGTTACCCTTTTGAACCTCCACTAGCATTTCAAGCTAAGGTACTTTTTGCTGTCTGCTGCAGACAGTGAACCTTTGATTGCACTTTTATGTGAATTAGTAATCCAATTAGAAAACACAGAACTGCTACTGCCAAATTACTAATGCAATTCACATTTCATTATTGGCCACAGAACAGCACGTTTCTGTCTCACGCCTTAGCTATTTCTAGAGTGAAAGCTCTAAAAGTTGTGCCTATGTTATGATTATCACTTAAAAAAATGCAAAGGAAGGTCACATGGGACATAGATTTTGTGCATGTGTGGATCAACACAGGTATGAACTATTGCTCCAGAAGATTTAGGAGATGTTCAAGTAAAACTGGCCAGTCTACTTAGATGGGCTTGGGATAAGGGGAAGTAAAACCAGACAGTTTGACTGCAAATTAGCCATGCAGCAATTTCGTATGTGTGTAATTAAACTTCTTCTTAATCTTACTGGGTAGTTTGATCGTCACCCTAGATGTGGTCAAAGGATCAGGTCCATCCTTCATTTACAGTAAATGAAAAATTGGTGTTCAACAGAAAGGCAGCTGGATACTTTTCTGATGTCCTCACTAAAATGAAAAATTCTTGTATTCTACAACAGAATTTCCCACCCATTACATAACACTTAAGGAAGCTCAAAGAGATCAACACATACATAATTCATAGACTACATCTGTTTGCTCTGTTTTGAAATTGAATTAGGAAAACAGTTGTTTTAAACAACACTACAATTATGCTAAAGGCTTTACTGATTTTTATTGAATATTAGATACCACATGGTTTATGTAATAATGTCATAAAAGAGGCCCCTAACAGCTCTCTTCAAACAAACCTCAATCCCTGAACTGTATTTATTCTATGATTTGAGCTTTGTTAAGTCTATTCCATATTCACATACATTTGTAACACAATAAAAATGGAGGAAAGCATTTTAAAAACCCTCAGAGAATGACAGGGCTTCATCAGACACAGGAGCTGTAATGTTGGACAACTGAAACTTTGGTCTTAAACTGTTCTAGTGCTTCTTAAACCAAAAGAAAAATAGAGTAATCAGGACGTGTTATTCACAGTGTTACATTTAAATCTGTGAGTAGCAGCTGAATGAACACCAACCTGGCTTGCTGCTCGTCTCATTCAGACAACTAGTACGAACTAGTGACTGCACTATTTGCCAGCATTTTCCTAAAACCATATGGCATGACAAGTATGCTGGAGCCTGCACTCCCTTATGCTCAGCTAATAGAAAAATGAGACAAATAGCTTGAATGAAACACTTCAGTAAAGAGAGCAGACCATCTTTAGCTGATTGTCAGAAGAATGAACTTCGAACTTGATGCTGAATCTGACATGATGAGCTGAGACCATGAAAATTCATTTGTATTTTTGGCTGATGAAAAATTTAAAACTTTCTTTTTCTTTTCAGAGAAGAACTAGCAGGATTATTATCAGCTATACTTAAAGGACAAATGTAGCTATACAGAATTTCTCAGTGCTGATCATTGTTGGCTGAAACATTAATAAATTGCACTCTAATCCCAACAGGTTATGCTTTATAGGCAGTGACTCAATATGCGTATCTATGGAAGGCAGGCTGTTCACTTTTTGTTATCACTTTCATTATGTTTGGCCCCAAAAGTTCAAAAACATAAGCTGTATTTCAGAAATTATATAAACAAATAAGGACTTTAGTTTACTTTTTTAACTCCCTCAGTTGCACCCACATGTGATAGTCTTGCCAATTTTCCCAAATTAACATATGTTTTGGATACTGCTGAAAACTGCGAGACATGGAGACATCTCACTTCCCCACTTTCACATTTTTAGGGATGATTTTCAAAGTAACACGAGTCAGAAACACTGATCCTGCTTATCCTATTGTGAAAGTAAGGAAAATAGATTCAAACAGTGAAGAAGATGAAATGCTAGTTTTTCACCAGACGTTACATAAGCAGGCCTGAAGTCAGCAAAATATGTAAACTCTTAATAAGGTTTTAGCTGATAACTAAACGTGGAGAATAACTTGGCCTCATGTGCCTATTTACAAACCTATATATATAAATCACACGTTTCTTTTCCGAGCTAAGTAAAGGTGTCCATCCACCTCAGTCAAGACCAATAATTAATGTCCAATTTAGAGAAATAAATGACACATCATGACTCCCGAGTCCCCTATCGTCCCTATGTACTATCATCCATACTCAAAAAAATCCTTCCAATTAATTACCCCAGGGGACTAGCTCTAACCCTAAATCATTGTGAAGCAGTTAGTTTTACCCTAGATGATGTAAGATAGATAAGAAAAATTTTATTGAAAAGTTCATTAATCAAAACAATTACAAGCACCATACAATTATACATTACGATCTTGCAATAGTTCACGTTTGACTCGCAAATCTATGCACAATATGTACTGAAGTAAATAATGCCTGATTTGATAAATGACGCACAACATTTTTTTGTCAGGAACTAAAGTCCTAAGTCAGTTAGTACTTCGTAAGTGCCTTGATAGCATTTTCCACGTGCTCCCAAAGGAAATCCCTTAGATTTAATAACAGTGGAGTTCATCAGTTTTTGAATTTGATCCTTAAGATGCTGGTATTTTTTTACTTTCTCTGACGCCGCATCTGCCAGTGACGTTGGTTTACTCTCCTATCCGTATTATAATATCTACAACTAAGGCTTGACCTCCCTTAACAAATACCAAATCCGGGTTTACATAATTCATTTTGTTTGTCTTTTAGCAATGGCTCTTGAAACACCATCCAATCTTTCCTTCTGGCCTCCTCTGCCAACGTTTCACGTAGTTGATTATGTCGCTTTGTCCTGGCATCTTGCACCTTCACAGTTGGACTGGCACTTCTTCCTTCATGAAGCAACTATGTACAACAGAAAACAAACTTTTCAGATTTCCCCTTGCCTGTCTAGAATGTCAGGCATCAAATACATCAGATTTTGAAGCTGGTAGTATTATTTCAAGGGGAACGGATTAAGAGCTTATGCTGCCTTGGATCAGTAGCTGTTTCACATGATTTCCATTTGGATTATTCGTCACCGTCTGCGTAGAAGCATTTGCACACTAGTCTCAGTTGAGCCACCAAGCACAGCTCGTCCGGCCTGGCCCCTTCCTTCAGTCCCTGCGTAACCGGAGCCGATCACAACAGCAGCTGCCTCCTGCTGTCCGGCTCTGACTAAAAGCAGAGACACACAGCCAGGCCAAGGATCTTCCGCCAACACTGTTTTGGAGCCCCACTTTGACTTCGCAACGTTTAAAGAAAGAAACGCCCTCTCCCCTCGGGCACACTACTCTCCTTCACAGAGGGCGCCGCCTTTCCTCACACACACCACCCCTCAGGGCCGCCACCGCAGGAACATGAAGGTTTTAGGGGCAGCACAGCCGAACCTCCCTCCGACAGAGCCTCCCCATCAAGGCTCCAGCTCATCCAGGCAATCAGAGCAGGTGCACGGGCCTCCCGGACCGCTGTCGCCGAGAGATCGCCGTCGCCGAGAGGCCGCCGTCGCCGAGCGGCCG